CAGAAATAATTCCTTATTTTCTTAGAAGTTATCTTCCTTAAAATAGCAGAGATTCTACTTCAGGAGTCTTGGAAAACAAAAGTTTAGCAGTCAAGTAATAAAAAATGATGCTAAACACACAAAAATACATAGAAAACAAAAAGTTTTAAAGGCATCCACTTTAAAACATGTATTGGCATAAGATCATATTCAATCCATTTACCTGAATTCCTTTAGATTGTTCAGGGAACACTGGTAAAGTCATTGTGATTTGCTAAAACAGATCTTTCTAAGAACTGTTACCATCACGATATTTCTACAGTTTTCAATTTTTTTTTTTTAGTTGAAATTAAATTTTTTTGTTTACTCTTATACTTTTGGGGGGTATGCAATTTTTGGTAAAAATGCTTACACAGTAAGACCTTTTTGCAAATTGCTGAGGGCATGGAAGGGAAGAGAGTTTAACAATAATCACTGTCTTGTTCTTTTGCTTAAAGCACAATGAATTGACCCACACATACATAAAAAGATCACAGATCATTCAACATAGGTATTCAAATACAAAACTGCAATATCACAAAGCATGATTTACTTTAACCATTAAAAGAATACATATTTGTTCTTCCTTTGAAAGGAAAAATATTTGCCAAGAATGAAGACAGTCATCAGAAAACAGGATGTTAATGGCAAGAAACCACTGCAAAATAAATAAAACTGATCAGTATGATTAATACTAAGGAAAGCACAGACTGGTGTGTTAGTGTTCCTGATCTGAAGCAAAAGACGGCACGTGTTCCTTAAGGCTGGCTGAGCAGTTACATCCCATCAGCACTGGGCAGCCCTCAAGCTATGCCAGGACTTGTCTGCTTTCAGTTCCTCCAAAGTGACAAGCTCTTCCATGATCCCTGGCCCCCTGTCTAGTTGACACTTTCCCCCAATATTTTTTCATCTTTGTGCTGGCTGTTCAAGCTTCAGGTCCTAGCTTACTTTACTCCACAGATAAATTAAGTACTCCCCTCCCCTTACATATTACCTCCCCAAGCACCTTATCATCTCACTCCACAGCACTTCTAACACTCTGTGGTTAGAGGTATGGATTTTATATATATAGATATTATATAAGTATATTACATGTATATATGTATATTATACATATTATGAGGTCCCTCTTTCCCTAGCAGGCTATAAATCCCACGAGAACAGAGACTATGTATGTTTTACACAATTACAGCCAAGGTCTTGGACCCTGCCTGGTATAAAAGTGGACACACTTAGTGGAAGAAGTGCATCCAGAACTCCCATCTTTGTCTGCTGTCTCTTCACACCTGTAGGGCCACAAAGACCCTTCCTACCTGCTATGTTAAACCACAAAACCTTAACATCAAACAATGGAGGTTCCCTACTGACCTGTAAAAATCACTTGAGGGTGGGAAAATGGAAACAAGCTGTAGACAAGTATTTGGGGCTGCAGTGGGGATGGGAGGACCCTTTGTTAGTTCTATCAGTCAATTCTCAGGCCACTAACTTGCCAGACTTCCTTGGGATTCCAGAGAGCTGCTTCATTGTTTTCCTTTCCGCTGACACTAAATCTTACCTTGATTAGTTTTCTCCAATGTAAATTTATAGTTTCTGCCTTTCATCTCTGTGGAAGCCAGCCTCCATGTTGGCCTCCATGACTGATACTTGCCTCCCAGTATTCACATCTCTGGAGTAGCAGAACCCTCCCCAGTTGAGCAGGGATGGCCTATGTAGCTATTAGGATGTCATGGAAATCATGCTATGAGACTTCTGAAACTAGGTCATAGAAGACATTGGGACATTCACTTTGAGTTTTATCTTTGCTCTGGGGGATCCAGCAAATATACTGTGAGGACACTCTAGAAGTCCCATGAAAGGGTCCACATGGTGAGAACTGAGTTCTCCTGCCAATGGCCTGGGTTAATTTGCCAGCCACATGAGTGAGCCACCCTGGAAAAGGAACCCCCAGCCCTATTCAAGGCTCCACATGACTGCTACCTCATAAGATCCTCAGCCAGAACCAAGCAATTAATTTAACTCCCAAATTCTAACCTACAGAAATTATGTGAGATAATAAATGTTTATTGTTGTTTTAAGCTGCTAAACTTAGGGGTAACTTGTTATACAAATTATACATAACACATAACAATATAATCTCTCATCACTTAAGTTCCTGTGGAAAATATTCTATGTGAAAATTTTCTAGAAACTTTTATCATTAATAGAAAGGGAAAGAAGAAATTAATTAAAAAAATTTACCCTACAACTCCCTTTTCCCTTTCCCTTAGGTCCCATAAGGAAGACAAAGCAAATGGCAGACTTTCTGAAAATATTTAAAAAGGATGAAATAAGATTCATTCCTTTTTTTCTTTCTGGAAAAAAAAAAAAAAGAAAGAAAAGACTTTTCTTGCATTAAACAGAAGACAGAATTTTCTGAAAAGAATGAAAGATGAGACAGAAGAGGGGACAGAGGCTAAAGTGCTGTCCTGAAGATGAGGAATGGAGAAAAGCAGAAAGTTCAGAGACTGGCTGCTTCTGTGTTTGTCACAACCTTGCTTTAAGCAGAGTTTACTGAGGTCCCTCTCAAAGAAAATGGGCTATGATCAGAATATGAGGAGGAAGATATACGATATGATATCCTAGAAGGCAGTGAAGTCTGTACTAATAAGAAAAGAAAAATATGTAGCAGCACTTGGGTATCAGGATCACTTTAAGTTTATGATGGCAGTATGCAGAAGTCTTATTTCTATTTCTATGTAGAGAAGATGCCTCAATTTAAAAATTTTTTTCCTCTTTTAATTCCCTCCAATAATAAATGTGGAACATAAGATACTCCAATTAGAAACAGAGATTTGGGGGCACCTCAGTGGCTCAGTGAGTTAAAGCCTCTGACTTCAGGTAGGGTCATGGTGCCAGGGTCCTGGGATTGAGCCCCTGCTTGGACTCTCTGCTTAGGAGGGAGCCTGCTTCCCTTTCTCTCTCTCTGGCCTGGGATCTGCCTACTTGTGATCTCTGTCTGTCAAATAAATAAATAAAATTAAAAAAAAAAAAAGAAAAAGAAAAAAAAGAAACCGAGATTTGTTACCATAATTCCAAAAGGTGGTACTGACCACATTTTCTCCCTTCCCATGGCCAAAGATAATTTTCCTAACAAAAGAGTTCTGAATACATTTGAGATTTTTTTTTTAAATTATTAAATTCCTTTTTAGCCTTAGGCTGCTTCCATTTTCTTTTCAAAGTCTTCTTTCTAGGTTTCTCTCCAGTTTTATTATAACACAGACTTTAAAAAAAAAAGAAAACCTGAGATAATTCTCCAGCAGAGAATGTTTTCTCTTAACATCTTCAAAAGACCTTTTTAAAGATGACTAGGAGAAACAACAATGAGAAATGTTTCATTATTCACTGGTAACAGTTAATGATGACTTTATCTTGTAGAAGAATTTCTAAGAGTTTTCTTTCTAGATAGGCCAAAGAAATAAATAGATAAACTTCTTCGTAATCCGAAACTGCTGGATTCTATTATTAAACAGAGGATCTAAGACAAATGCCACTAGAACTGTCAGAGCAACAGTGAAAAAGACCCCAATATACAGATACTAAAAAAATTGGATTGGGTTTTGATTAGAAGCCCCCCAGACCCCCCCAAAAACCCAAAGTATAATAGTCTTTATTAGTTTGGGAGAATTACCATTGCCATACACTGTTAACAATCACTAACCTCTTGAGCTTTTCAAGCTCCTTAAAAATAAAGGAATTACAAAAGACAGGAAATGGCTTTATAAACAAAATCCAGAAACACAACAAAATGTTTAGATATCTGATCGGTATTACCAACACAGCCTCAAGACACCACCTTGCTTTGAGGCGCCTGGGTGGCTCAGTGGGTAAAGCCTCTGTCTTCGGCTTGGGTCAAGATCCCAGGATTTGGGATTGAGACCCGCATCGTGCTCTGTGCTTAGCAGGGAGCCTGCTTCCCCCCCCCCCTCTGCCTACCTCTCTACTTGTAATCTCTGTCAAATAAATAAAATCTTAAAAAAAAGAAAGAAGAAGAAGAAGATACCACCTTGCTGCCAACACTTAAGTTCTATAGTTTCAGGCTAAATCTTTCAAGGGAATTCTTACTTGGCTTTATAGAACTAAAAATGTGGAAAAAATTACCAAGTAGCCTACAGTTTTGATTCACTGAGAGATGCTGAGCCAGAACCAACCAGTTAAGCCGCTCCTGAGTTCCTGACCCACAGAACTGTGTGAGGTAATAAATGTTTGTTGTTATTTTAAGCTGCTAAATTTTGGGATAATTTATTATGCAGCAATCTCTTATCATCCAAGTAAGTGCACAGTTTGCCAGATTTTCACCATGAATATACAAGGCAACGGGATATATTGTACAAAGAAATATAAAATAATTAGTAACATGTAATATACAAATGAAAACAAGTATGTTAATGAAATATTGTCAGATACAGTTAATAATAAGACTAATACTGTAAGATCAGTGGAGCTGATTCTTTTTCTTAATCTGCCTCAAGTTTTATGAAACCCTCAGAGAAGCTACTGCAAAACATCCCCCTTTAAAACCCTATGATGGTAGAAGAAAAATGGGGAAAAGAAGTTAACTCAGAGCAATTATAGGTTGGAACCACTGCAAATTGTAAATTCAAGTACTATAAGGATTTTTTAAAAATTTCTATATTTGATAGAGTTCTAGAAAAGTGACTATACTATACACTTAGATCCTCCCAACAAACTGCAAAATATCTCTAAATAGTGGCTTTTTCTTAGACAAGTCAAGAGACATGGGCTTACATTTCTCTCTGCATAAATCAGCATAAATCTAAATAAGCTACAAAGAAAAAGTAGGACATTTCACAAAGGTTTTTATTAACAGACATAACAGAATCTTATAGATGACATAGGTGCTACATAGTGCTAATTTTCATATAAACAAAGGTGAGATAAACACAATTCAGTGCATGATATAAGAAATAAAAAAAGTCACCTACCCTTAAGAGGATCATGTTCTGCTCTCATAATATCAATAAGGGAATTCTCCAAAGAGTGCATGTTCAAACTGTCATACATTCTACTTCGATCCTAGAAGAGAAAAAAAAAAGACTCAATATGATGTATACAGCTTTTTAAAAAACTGGTGATAAATATACCATCTAAACCTCCTTACATAAAATAGGACATCTGATTAATATAATATTACTAATCACTTACATTCCAAGATAATACCAGTAACTAAGGATCCCATGAGTTATACTATTTCTTGTATTGGAGGATATTCCATTTACTATATTCATCTCAAAAAAACACACATCAAGAGTAATCTTATTTCACTGGAAGCATTAATAGAGTAAAATAATTTCTACTGTTACCTCAACTTATAAAGATTTCCGAAATGTTATACACAAAGCATTTTTAGTTGTTATTTAACTTCTAAGCTTTTCTCATATATCTAGGAAGACACCAGCACTTAAAAAATAAATAGTTCGGGGGAAAGGAATTAATCCCATAATGGCACCATACTTTAAATATCTATCAAACAGTGTACATTACTTGACTAGTCAGAATTTCACAATAATACATAAACATCCCATACAGTTAATATCAAAAGCATGAACTACTATCAGAACAAAGACTAACACCTCGAATACTTATATCCAAATCTTGCTCCCTGAAGTCCTCACATATTGGTCTCTGCATTTCTAAATCCTCTTTTCCTCTACACCCTGCAAAGAAGGCAGGGATGGAGGGAAGAGAATGGAAAGTAGTCTCATCTCAACAAGTTTCCCTCAAGTTCCAGAACAAAGTCTTTTTGTAGATGGAGGTCTTGTTTGCTATATGTTAAATCTGTCAACCTACTTACCAGAAGGAATTTGATTCTTTAATTCCTATGAATTTATGCTGTTTTTCTGCCCAACACATCCTCAATGTACTTGAACAAATATACATGGGGAACTACCACAGCAAGCTCTGGCCCATGCCCCTTAAATCATCAAAATGTCAGTGATGACTCCCACCCACTTAAATGTGTGTACGTGTTTGTACAAGTGTATGTACATGGAAGAAAGGAAGGGCAGGCCATTTCTAACTCTCAAAAAATGATTGATACTTAAAAAGAAAATGGAAGAGTAAGAAAAATAGGGGGAGGAAAAGGTCTCTACAGAAATCATAATTAGGCACTTCTTAGCCCCAGTCTGTGAACTTTAAGAACGACCATGAAATCTCTGAGATTACAGACAATATTCTATATGTGTGTGTACACATTTTTTTTTCCTGACGAAAAGGGCTTCATCAGTTTTCCATAGGAGTCCATAATCCAGAGACAATTCAGAGCCAGTCTTTTAGGAAGCTAAAGAAAAACATAAAAAGCTTTTCCTGAAAATATGTTGATTTATTTGCTCCATCAAGCAGAGTAAATGAATCAGGACTGTGAGCTTTTAAAGCCAGGGGGCCAGAATCAGTCTTGTAGACTAAACAAATTGTTGTTGGAATTTAGAAGTGTGCAAATACTAAAATGGTAGACTGCTAGACCAGTTGCTCTTACTCCAGCTTTATCACCATACAGCTGTATTGGTACTCCTTACTTTACTTTATTTTTACATCACTAACAATGACTTTGCTTGGTGGGGGAGGCACAGAGAATCACTGAACTAGAATAGTGGTTCTCTCACTTGAACATGCTTCAGAATCATCTGGAAGGGTTGCCAAACACACAGATTGCTGTAACCCAGATTTCTGGGACTCTGCTCAGAGTCTGAAATTCAGCAGGTTGAGAGCGGCCCCTGAAAATCTGTATTTACAATAGGTTCCCAGGTGATACTTAAGACATCTAGTCCAGTGATCATACTTTAAGAAGTGCAGAGCCTCTTGATCTTGAGTAAGCTACTAAACCTTTATAGGCTCTGTTCTATCTTCTAGAAAAGAAACAAAACATTGTTTCAGACTAGACAATGCCTAAATTCCACCTTAAAAATAACAGAAAAGCAAAAGACTCAAAGTACTATATAATAAATGAAATAAAACTGGAAGAGAAGACAGCATGGCCCTTGGGCAAAAATGACATACAATTTTAGTAATTCAAATATTTCCATCTTCTGTGCTTCCACTATATTATGTTCATAACTAATTTGTTGATTTTCCTGCCTTACCAACTAAACTAAGTTAATTAGAAGTAGGGACCTTCTAATTATGGAATATAGCTAGCTCTCAAATGTTTATTGAATGAGTAGTACTTTATCTCTACTATAAAAACTTTGCAAATTGAAGTTGAGCTCTGTGAGGGCAAAGACAGTTTAGGACCATAATGTCTTCTTAGAATTCTCCATGGAATAGGTACTTAGATGTTAACCGACACAACTAAGTCAAGATATATTAAAACATATTTAAAATATGATTAAAAAACGTAAGCTATCATGATAAAAATTATATATATAATTAACTAAAAAAACCCTCAGGTACTACAGGTTCTAAGATATATCAGAAATACTTTATATTCTATTTACCTTAAATTCTTGCAAAGAAAACATGTATGGTTCAGGGATATCTTCTCAGGCTGCTGTTTTTTTAATGGAATCAGACTATACCCCATCACAGTGGACCTATGAACTTAATTAATGGTAAGTATTACCATTATACTTAACATAATGTAACATAACAAATGATGTTATGATGTTTCTCATGCCTTTTTTTTTTTTCTGTTCACACACTAATTCCATTCAAGTAGTGTGATCTTGCTTTAGAGCAAAATTTAAAGTAAAATTAATGAAGTAACTCCATATACATGGTCAATGGGCAATATTTAAGCTAAGAAGGGAAATGTATAAGCAAGCTATTCAATAAATATTGGTGACCACTAGGTAATCAAGAGACAGTGGTTATTCAAAAAATCTGCATGTATTTATAGCTTTAGCTTTAATGTCTACATCCAACTCATAAAGAATGTGATGCCCACTTCCTAAGGCCCCTTATTTTCCCTTGCATTTCAAGTCTCTCATCATGAATCACACTCCTGCTTTAGCAAAGAAAATAAATTTAAGCTATTATAAAACTATAAGCTTACTTATACTTGGGGAGCATCAGCTACAGCCCACATAATTTTTAAAGCACTGAATACAAAATAGCCTTAAGCAGGCAAACAGCACATGACAACTCAAAATCACTTTCTAGATTTAATGAAACCTATAGGCTCATTTTCAAAAGGTATAGATAATTCCACTGAATAAAGTATGGGGATTAGAACATTAACTTCTGGGAAAAAAAAAAAAAAACAAAGCAAATCTGATTACAAAACAAATAAGGCTATTAGAAAAATTTGTCTTCACACAAAATGCCACTGGTTTAAAAACTAAATATAAATCCTATAACTATTTTAAGGTAAACATAAGCATACCAAAACTGATTAGCACACATATATAAAATCATTGCAATGTAACTTATATTTATTACTACATGACTATTTGAAAACAGCCAAGATGTTTCACAAAAGTAAGAATCTCTGTGAGGTAGTTTACCCCAATCTATTTAAAATATGAAAATTATCTGGCAAAGAATCAACTTAAATGGGTTTTCACAAACTGAGATTACAGAATCCCACAGCAGTGAGCAGGCAAAATTGAAAAAAACATTTTCGGGAAAACTACAATCTATTATAATATTTTATTACTTTCATAAACCCAGACATTTGCCATAAAGACTTAGAGAAGCAACAATACAGTCCTAGAAAGACTGAAAAAATGCAGAAAGAACAAAGTAATCCTAAATAAGGAACTTAAAAAAAGATTAGACATGCTAAAAAATAAAGAGGTCAAGAATATTAAAATTAGTACAACAAAAAGAACTTGAGCTTAATTAAAAGGGGACTTTTCAATGGGATGTTATATTTTTACTTTGATATATTCAAAACCCTGTTTCATTTCAAAAGGAGTGATCAAGCAGAACATTTTCCTCTTGAAAATGAAGTATCCACCTAAAGAAAAGGGAGATGGATTATAGGAAAACCCTATACTGTCATATTTAAAGATATATCAGATGCTTTAACAAATATCCTTCTAAGTAGAAAGATCAGCTTTTGTTGCAGTTTTGTGTTGAGTTTTCCAATTTTTGCTTTAAAATAACAAAGTTGTAAAAACTCACTGTATTGTCCTCAATCTTCAGTAAATACTGATTTTACATTCTTGACGACACATTGCTACTGCACTCTACTGAATTAGCAGCAGATGATGTGCTACTGTCTTACTGCACAATGTCTTCGGTCTCCTACTCTCTCTTACCAGTCTCTGGTTGTTCCACACAGACACCCCTTCTTCATTCGAATGGACTTGCACCTTCTCAAAGGCAAAGAACAGAATTTCTCTCCATATGTCCCCAGGATAATTAAAACACTACCATATACATAACGAACATACATTTTTTTGAAATGTCCTTCATTAATCTGAACCTTGACAAAGTGCTAGGACAGTGACTCTGAACAAAAATTTAAAAAAATTTTTTGAAGGCCTGAAATAGTATCCACAGGATTAAATGGAAAGGCAAGTAGAAAATATGTGGTATAAGAATGTATCAAGTACAGTTGAAGAACTGAATGCAGGATACGAAACTTAAAAAGCATCCATTACCTAAGCAGGTACAAAAGAACCCATTCTTTCTCATTTTCAGTAAGTGTTAACAGTTTGTTGGCTACCAATGCCCCTTGAGGTACATCTCATTTAAGAACTACAATTTAAGGAGTGCTCTATTAAATGAAAAATTAGATTTGGTCTGCTACTATATATTGTTTTTTGTGTAAAGTGAATAAAGGCACCAAATAATATATTTTTCTGAGAGACCCTCATTATTATCATCTATCACGTTCTCATATAACAGTCTATATATCAAAGACTGGTGGGATATATCTTCAATTAATTCAAGGTAGTTTATGTGACATGCTCAAGAACTTCCATAGGAACAAAAATCTACAACTGAATATATTGATAATCCCTTAGCTACAAGACAGGCCAACATCCATCTTATAAGGCTTCACAGCTATATTACACTTTTTTTTTTTTTAAAGACATTTTGTTGCTTTGTTTACAGAAAACTGATGTACCATACGTAAACCTATAAGTAATAATCTTAGCTACCAGTATATTTATTTTTTGATTTAAAATATTCACTTTTTGATTTAAAATATTCAAGTATTAATGAATATATTATAATCCCAATATCTAATTGAAAATTCAGTTTTAAGGCAATTAGAATTCATATATTGGCATATGACTTCTTGCAGGGGTAACTACCTACCAGCATTTTAAAGAAAAGTACTCTTAGTCTTAAAGAAATTAACATAAATACCTAAAAATTCATTTTAAAGTCAGAAATGTGTTTAAAACTTTACCTTTGTTTTTAAAAGTTTTAAATTTGGAGCTTTTCCATAAGAAGATAATTATTTGAAGTAAGGAAATGCCAATCAGCCCTAAAAATTTTACATGTAACTGAGTAAAACCAATCTGCAAAACTATTTCTTTCCTATTTGTTGAATGTTAACTACACATCCAGTTCTTGGGTATAGGTAAGGCCTCAAGTATCCAAGTATAGGAACTAAGACTCCAGTTCTAGAATTTAATATATTTTTTATGCCTAATCAATTTGAAACTAAAAGAAATAAAAAATCAAATGTTTTAAAATAATGTATTTGTTAACTGAGATATGTTAGTATTAAAATGTTCTATATAATGAAAAAAAAAAAGTCAGAATGAAAATATTGCACCAGATAATTTTAACTTTGCCAAATAGTGAGGAACTATCGAGTGGTTGAAGTTTGTAGCTGTTGCTGTATTTTTAAGAACCTCAACTTCAAATACCTCAACCTTTTATGGAAAGATAGAAATACAAAACAAATTTTGTATTGTAAGTACCCTTAAGGTCCTCAAAAGAAAGAAACACATTGATTTTAAGACCATTTGGGAGGTCATACACTATCCCTTGACTGCCTCAATCCAATTCCCACCTCTTCTCCCCAATAAACCAGAACCTTTGTATTCTAAAAATAAAGTGTGTGTGTGTGTAGGGGGGGGTGTGCACAGGGAGTTAAAGAAATGGCCAAAATAGATCAGAGAAAGTATAAAAGCTGGCTAGAAAGACCTTTCATGATCTAGTTCAAGGTTCTCCTTTTATAGATAAGGAAACTATGACCCAAAGACATGAAAGCCCATAGACTATATCCTCAGATGTCATAAGGACTGAGAAAAGGGAAGAAGGTTCAGGTTTCAGACCTCTTTCCTCTAGTTCAGTTCACTTCCCACTATCTTTTTCTTCACCATGCTCTTCAACTTCATCAAATCACACCTCTGGTGCAAAGGACCAAAGGGAATGCCAATATCTCAGCAGTTAGCCAAAAAAAAAAAAAAAAAAAAAAAAAAAAAGTTACCTTTAAACACCTAAATCCTTTTATATAAAATGAATTTACCTAAAACCCTAGGTTATAAAACAGGTAAGAACAGAGTGGCTTTGATTGAAATCTAAGTAGGAGTGCTAGAGACCCCTCATCTTATAGCAGCCCAGGGGCTGACTTCCTTTCATTATCACCTCTATCTACTCTCTAGCCCTCCACCAACTGAAACTATCTCAATAACCACATTTCTCAACATATGACCCACCTCCATTGTCCCCTTATGACAGCTAATCTGTCTTCTCTCTTCTCCATAGTTAAATATCCCTCATATGTGTCCTCTTGCTTCTTTCGTGCACATGTTCTTCAAATAATTGTCTTTTCCTCTCTAAAAACACATCCCTTGCCACCTTCAAAATGATTATCATAATTTTCCTCTTCTAAAATACCATCTCCTAGACATTTACATATTCAATTTGAACAACATGAAAGTGCTACCATAAAAATGTCACTAATATGGCCTAACTAGGCCAGAGTGGAGAAGAGCATAGAAATAGATGGATAGCTAACTTAAATTATTAATAAAACAATAAATCACAAATTACATGAGATAACTACTTATTTCTATGTGGCAATCCCGGTAGGACCATTTTGGTAAAAAATTAGGACTTGTCTAAAATAACTGCTAATGATAGATTACTGAAGTTAATGCTAATGCTCCAGGTTTGAAAGCTATTGACAAACATATTATTAATCTATAGAGTCCTTACTTGTAAAATCATCTCATGTTGATAAATTAACTAAGGAAGAGCCTTAGCTAAGGATAACATAGCTCCATTCAGTGGGCTCCCACAATGTCAATTCTATGCTCATTCAAGCTTCAGCTCTGCAGTAAAGAATCCTCATGTAGGACTGAGTTTTCTACTTGTCCTGTAATAATTCTCATCACCGGTACCCAGTATGAATTCAAATTTAGTCTGCAGGAAAAGAGATAGCATTTTGTAACCACAAAGGGCTTGAAGGAAATTTAAGACCGATTCCTAGCTTTTTGATTTAGGGTTTTTCTATAGGAAACATTATTTGGAAGAAGATAAGTATACAACAGTGGTAACAAATTTTAGAATAAAAAAACATTATTCATGAAGTTTTTCTTAAAGGTATAAAAATTGAAGCCAGGACCTCTTTAGAAATATACCTCAAGACAAATGTAGATTTCGTGACAAAAATTTACTAAAAAATTCTGTAAAACACTGATGAAATGTAAAATTGAATGTATGATTTTGTCCCCAACTGAAAATAATTCTGAAAGATAAAATCTGTTAAGTTTGACTGATGTTTAAAGTCAGGTGCTCTTGGGTATATAATTCCTTTTTTCCAAAAACAAATTCTGTTTTGGAAATATAAAATAGTTATGAATTACTTATAAATTTTAAAATGAAGCATTTTATATTAAATAAGTGACCTTTTAAAAATAAATTGCTTTAATGTTCTTTGACATATGCTTAAAAAAGGTATAACTGGAAAGTAAATAATAAATCTTACTCATAATATAAACACTAAACTCCTAGTCATAATCCTGAAAAATATACACTGTGCAGCCTACCTGGTCTATTCTGGATGTTCCGGCTGCAGTGCACCAACTATCTTGGAGTGAATCTGAGCCCCAAGCTGGTAACTGCAAACTAGATCTCACCTTCAATAGCATAGAAGTTTTCATCAGAAATAAGCAGTTCTCTTCCCCACACCCACCCACAAAAAAAGAAAGAAAAAAAAGGTAAGAAAGAAAACAAAAAACAATCAAGTTCCTTCTATCTTGTATCTTTAGTCCTTTAAAAGTTTTAGGGGGACAAAAACCTCATTTTAAATAATTATAGGGACCTTTATTAGCTAGAATATCAGTAAAACATTAAAAGATCTGAAAAAAAAAAAAGTCTAATCATCATAACTATTAGGCCACATTTAGAAAAAAATAGTCACTGAACCAGGGAGGACAAATTTTAAGTTGATGCAAAAAGCCCTAATATTATTTTGCCATAATCACAGCTGTACTAAGCATATTCTAATATATATATATATATGTGTGTGTGTGTATATATATATATATATACACACACACACACACACACACACAGCTGATCACAGTCAAATTTATGCACAATTACTTAACATTTTAGTTTAGCTATAGAGAAAAAATTCATTTTGGTGGCCTATTAAAGATGAATAAATTAAGGCATTCTTGAGCTGCCAATTAAAAGCTTCAACATATATTTAAGAAATACAGCAGGTTTTTCTAGATTTTATGAAGCTTCTTTTCTACTGTGTGTTTAGAGAATTTTTTAGTCTCAATTTTCTCTACATAAATACTTTATCCTTTGGCAATTAAATTATATGCTAAAAATAAAAGCCTTTTAATGTTTTAATCTGTTACTTTTACCAACTACCACCATCACCACCACCACCACCCAATTTCTTACTTTGAATGATAAACATTAGAAATAAGACAATTTACATACCATTCTTACCTGTAAGGGTAAGAGTGTATTACTATTGTTGTCTGTTCTGAACACATTATCTTCAATCCAAGATTTTGGAGTCAGTGATGGAGTAGAGCGAGTAAATTTCGGTGGTGCTATGACATTACCAGAAAATGGTTTCTTCAGTGGAGATATCTGATTCATAGTTCCTGGAATTCCCATGTTTCCAGTTCTACGATGATCTCTGCCATGCATTGCTCCCCAGGACATACTTCCAGTGCCCCAGCCACTGCTCTGATGGTTGCTCCAAGGAGATTGTTTCAGAAGAGGCTGAGAAAAACACATCTGTTTAAATTACAGGCATTTAAAGAGTTTATAATTCAAACTCAAATTTAGGCCCACGCTAAGAATATACATAATCTTAAAATAACATCTCTAAAGGCAACAGAATCTATCTTAACAGGTTATAAAAGTAATAGGTTTGAGATCTTGCTATATAAAAACACATTCATTTAAAGTGAGGTGAGTTTTCATTCTACAGCCCACTTTAAATTATAATGAACCAAGCAGATATTTCATGATAATTATTAAAATAGAACCATGCAACTACTTTTCTTCCCTTTCAGAATCGTATATGTAAGAAGAAAAAAAATACTTGAAAATTGAAATTAACTTTGAAGATTCCTAAAGATATAACCTACATTGTGATCTCAAAACAACCATATTCTGCTAGGCATACAATCATAATATGGTCCTTAATTAATAAAGGTATGAGTAATGACGGGAGTAAAATATTTAGACTTTATGATTCCAAAACAAACTGCACCACTGCGACAGTAGATAATGGTAACATTTGGTGGTGTTCTCTTGCATGAACTAAAAACGCCTTTTAGTATAGGGACAGTATAGAAAATATGTCTTCCTTGTATTGTTTATTTAACTTTCAATATATTTTATTCCAACTTTAATGTACTTTCTTTTAAAGTGTTTTAATTTTTTTTAACTTAATTATCCATGAACAGTTGAGCAATTATCTGATGTCACCCATAGGTGGATCCACTGAGATATACTAAAGATAAACAACTATATGCTTTGATTATTCTGGTAGAGATCTTAACACAAATCTCCATTGGGCTCATTCATTTTCAAAAGTAATTTATAATCCAAACTAGAACCTATGACAAAAAAAAAAAAAGTTGAGAACCCACCAAGAGGCAATTACTGTAAGTTTTTGAAAAGTATTATTTTCTAGCAATTATGTTGTCAATAAGCTTATAGCTAACATTTAGCTAAAGGAATTATGGGCTATGAAGTTGCTATAAGTAAATAAGCTCGTAGAAGTATTCTTAAAATGAAACTTCCTTCTTATAACATGGAAAAAAAAAAAGAACTTGATCTATAGTACCTATTTAAAAAATGCCAATATAATCATGAATATACACTGCCCCCTCCATATAGTTCAAAGGTATAGCTCAGGGGCCATGAACAAATCACTTTATTCCTGAGGGGCCTTACTTTCCTTACTGATACAGTGATCAAGTTCTCTTCCAGTGATCTAAAATTCCGTATGACAGCTGTGTGACCTCTTAAACTTCACTGTAAGAACCATCTTTTGACAAAAAGCAAATTATAGTTAAATATGAATCATGGTATACTGTCTTCTAATGTTCCGTATCATGGCTCTAAGAATATAAAACTACCTATAAATAATTTTCTGTGGCAAGCTTCCAGTTTAAAAAATGAAGACTCTGACACATAAAAGATAACTAACTGCTCGAGATTATGGAAATCATAGGAAAGTGGAATATTATTTCAAAATTCCGTATTTTTAATCCTCATAGGCCACGTTCTCGTCGTTGGGGAGACACCAGTGATTCAAAATAAAAACTGTTAACTGTTACTCAGGTTGATTTAAATAAACTCTTAACTGTTACTTTGGTTAGATAGTATTCACCTTTTAAAAGGTTAGCCCTTGAAAACTTTAACTGGTCACAATGGAAAAAGTTATAGGAGTAAGCAGGCACTGGTGAAGGTCCAATTTTGCTTCTCTCTCAAACCTTAATCACGAAAATGACCTTAAACACACTAATCACAATAAATGCTGACTGGATCAAAAAAGAACAACAAAATACTCTTTCAGTGTCCATTAACCAGCCCAGCGGTCATTCAAACATTGTATTGAGAAGATTACAAAACAAGAGCTTGAATCAGAAAGGACCCGGATGAATAAAAAAAAAAAAAAAAAAACACAAAAAACAAAAAACAAAAAACCTGCCCGGTGTCATTTCATAATTACATTACCCACTTAAAATATACACACCTCAAATTCAAGAAAAGATAAGGCCACCCCCCCCCAAAAAAAGGGAGTCCTCTCTTCGAGGTATATACCACGAACCCCGGATTCAAGTTTAGTTTTGTCTTAAAAGCCACCAAATATTCCCAAGACAAGAAGGGGCGCAGAAGCTAACCCAATCTCCCCAATCTCGCAGCGCCTCGGCTGTAACCAAGTGAGCCCCCGCGGGCAGGCTCCTCTCTCCAGTCGTCTGACAGCTCGGGACCGAGCCCGCGGCGCGGCTCCCTGGGCTCTCCCGACCCTCGGCCCTCGGCCGGCGCAGCTGCGCGGCGGGCAGGGCGTCCCGGCCGGTCGTCGCGGCCGGCCACCCCCTTCCCAGCCAGACCTTGCGCCGGCCGGTGCAGAATGAAACAGACTCTAAGAAAGCCCTTCCGTCCATCCCCTCATAGAACGACCTGGAAGAGTCACCGGCTCCCCACACGAACCGTCTCAGGTGATCATGTTCCTCCTTCCCAAGTTCGCTTCCCACGGCCACTCGTCCGGGGCCGCCGCCGGAGCCCGCGGGCCCCTCGTCCCCCGCCCGTCCTCGCCTCGTCTCCCCGGCTTGCGGATCGTGGACGGTGGCCCTCTGGGTCAGGGGCGCCCACTGCGAGGGACCGCCGAGCGGGCGCGCCAGTCCGTCGCCGCCGCCGCCCTCGGTCCGGGCGCCATTCGGCCCCTGCCCCAACCCCCACCGCCGCTCCGGGCGTTCGAGGGGGCGCCCGGCCGGGGCGACTTCCAGCGTGACCCCCTTACCCGAGCCTCGTAGCCCACGGTGGCCACTGCCCGCCCGCCCGCCCCGCCGCGGACTGGTGTCCCGAGTCCTGTCACCCGTCTCCCCCCCCACCCCGCCACCAGTCCCACTCTCGCATGGGCGAGTAGCCCTCGTCGTCCCGGTCCCGGCCCCGCGGCGCAGTTGGGCCGCCGTCCGCCGTACCTGGTGGTGGTTGTAGGAGTTCCTCTGCTGCAGGAAGGCGGCAGCCGCCGCCTGGTGCTGCTGCTGGAGCTGCGGGCTGACGGGAGACCTCCGGCTCTGCGGCTGCTGCGCCGCGGGCGGCGTGGGCTGCTGCTGAGGTAAATTCATGGCGGGCGGCGGCGGCGGGGGCACGGCGGCAGCCGAGAAGGGGCCGCCGAAGCCGCTGCCGCCGCCGCCGCCGCCACCGCCGCCGCTCGCAGGCACGCTGAGTCCCGCGCAGCCGTGCGGGGACACGGGCGAGAAGCTCGGGAAGAAAGCCGGGTTCATGGACGACGGCAGCCCGGGGTAGAAGCCGTTCTCTGAATCGGGGCTGGGCGGCGGCATGGCGCTGAGCGAGCCGCCGCCGCCACCGCCGCCGCCGCCGCCACCCGGGGTGGCGGCCGAAGAGCCGGGCTGCTGCGGCTGCGGCTGCGGCGGCTGCTGGGGCGGAGGCGGCTGCTGCTGCTGGGGCGGCGGCGGCTGTTGGGGTTGGGGCGGCGGCGGCGGCGAAGCGGTCTGCACCGACCAGGGGGTGCCGAAGCCGGGCAGTGGCGGCGGCGACGCAGAGCCGCCTCCCCCTCCGCCTCCTGGGGGCCCCCCGCCCCCGCCGCCGCCCGGGTGCGGAAGGTCCGGACTCTGCAGGCTGCTGAAGGCGCCCGCGCCGAGCGCCCCGCCGGGCAGGAGGTTACTGGGACTGTTGAGCAGAGGGTGGTTGGGGGACTCCATGGAGCCCGGCGCGGGGTTCACCGGCGGCGTCGAGGGGGCCAAGCCCGCATTGGGGGGGCTCGGTGGCGCTGCCCTCGCCCGCGGCCGGGGTCTTGCGAGGGCTGCCCGCGCCTCCGTGGCGGCGCCGCGGGGCTGCGGGCGGCGAGGGCTGGAGCTGCGGGAGCGGGGGCAGATCGGCCGGGAGCTGCCGCTGGGCGAAATCCTGCGGCGGGAGGTGCTGCGGGTGCGGTACGCTGAACTGCTGCTGCTGCTGTGGCTGCTGGCGCTGGGCGAGCTGTGCCGGCTGGAAGAGCCGGCCGGACGGTGGCGGCGGCGGTGGCGGCGGACTGAACCGGCCGGGGCAGTGGAGCGGCGGCGGCGGCGGCGGCGGCTTCGAGTCCGGAGGGTGGGGAAGGTGGGGAGGGCTGAACTCTTTCCTCTTCTGGCAGCTCAGCTGCTGCTGCTGCCGCTTACTGAAGTCCTGCGGGGAGGAGGTGCGGCAGCAGCAGCAGGAGGAGGCGGAGGAGGAGGAGGGGGGGTGCAGACTCGGTTTGAAGTCCTGGGAGGGGAGGAGGTGGGTCACACCCGCGTTCGTGCCGCCGCCGGGGTGGTGGTTGGGGAGTTTCTCCGCGGCCGCCGCCCCCGAGAGCGGCCGCGCCGGCTGCTGTGTCAGCCCCAGCAGCAGCTCATCCTGCATGGTCTGCTGATGCGCCAGGAACGGGGAGGAAGAGGAAGCGGCGGCGGCTGAGCTGCCCGCGCCGCCGCAGCCGAGGATAGGAAAGGGGGAGGCGGCCTCCGAGATGCCGGTGACAGGCAACGGCGGCGGCGAGCCGAAGGGCGTGGCGGAGGACTGCGGGGCGGCGGCCGTGGCGGGCCCCACAGCGTAGGGACGGTACGTCCCGCTGCTGAATAGTGACCCAGGGCTGCTGCTTCGGAGCGGGGTGGTCTGCAACACCCCAAACCCGAAGTCCCTCATTTATCAGGCCGGCGGCAGCGGGAGGAGACGCACCCGGTCCGCTGCCCCGCCTAGGAAGCTGCTGGATCTGGGGCGGCACTGCCGTGGTGGAAAGAGGGGGAGTCAGTGAGAGGGACACCGTGACTGAGCCAGGGGCACCTACTTCGGCCCCTCCAGCCCTCGCGGCAATCACCGCCGCCTCCTGAGACCTGCTCGGGCACCGCCACCGCCGATGCCGCCGCCGCCGCCCTCGCGGCTTAAGAACTCCGGAACGTGCGTCAGCGCCACCTCACAATCGCACCGCCCCCCGCGGTGCGTCCCGGCACGCGCGGGCGCGAGGCCGCCGCGCCCCCGCTGCCCCGCCCCCGCCCCGCCCCTCATTAATATGCAGACTCGGCTCGGGCGCGCTAGTTCTCCCAGGAGGGAGGGGGAGCGCGGGAGCGAGCGGCGTGTCTCCTCGGGCCCCTTCGGCATCTAGGGAAAAGGAGAGGTCTGTGGCGGTAGCGGGCAGCTGACTCCGGTCTGGGAGCCCCCCGCGCGCGCGCACTATAGCGAGCGCGCGCGGGCGGCGCCGACCGTTCCTGGGCAACGGCCCCTCCCGGCGCGGGGTCTGCGCAAAGGCTACCCTTAGTCGCACGCGCTCCGTCCCGCCCCCGTCGCCCTCGCGGCCCCGCCTCCTTCCTGTCACCTCGATCCCTCCCTTGGTCACATGAGGCTTGGCCGCTGATACACGAACTTGTTTGGGCTGTGGTGCCCCGCGTGGGAAACTGAGGCGGGGAACCCGACTGGGAGCGGCTTTCAGTCACCGCGGCCGCGTGAGGCCTACACCTTGCGAGCGCAGGGGGGACAGCGGCCCTTCCCGCCCTTCGGGCTCAGCCCGGTGGTCCTTAGACCAGCTAGGTCCTGTGGGCGCTGCTGGCCTGGCAGACCGCTAAGCGGCTCTCTCCATACCTCGTGCCCCACACGTCCCCTACTTGGAGCTCTCGTCGTCGCCCCAGAAAGCGCCTTCTCGGGCTTGCTTGTTTTTAGCTTCTCGTGCGGGGTGCTGTTTGGACCTTCCTGCAGCCGCTCGAACGTATTTTCTGCAGGGCAAACATGAAGCCTGGCTGTACACCAAACGTTTTCACTTGGGCAATGAGGAGCAAAGTCCCAGGAAATTAACCGGGCTCCGTGTGGCTGTCTACACACATAAATGCGTATAATAGGTTAGGAGGCGAGCTCCCATGGTAACCCTGGGCCAGTTCCAAGTCTTTGTATTTCATAAAACCATTTAATGTGCCATCATCAGGACTGCCGTGTGCAGGACTTCAGCCCGCCATATTTGCTCTGGCTCTCCTGTCCCTGCCTCCCCCGCCCCTTCCAGGGAGACTCAAATTTAAGCATTTCCTAAGCTTTATGAGTTTTCAAGGGAGATTTCTCACATCAGGGAAAAAAGGAGGTTCTGACTCAGCAACAGACTTGTTGAGGCTTGCAAAATGGAAGGGGAGAGAGCTTTCCATGGTGGAGCTCTTGTTGGAAGCAATAGAAGAGGAACTAATCCTGTGTATTTCCTTTTCTAAAGAAGCATTTAACATAGAGAAAAAAATTGTGCGAGGACCTAGATAAAGAATAACAAAATGATCCTGTTTTGCAATTTTAACTTTTTCTTGGCACTTAGAGAAGTGAAACTATTGAAATAATCCCAGAATAGAGACTAACCCCAAAAGCAATAGATGGGATGTCCAGACTACTTGATTTTTTAAAAAAATTTTTAGTTGAAATATAATTGACCTATAACAACATATTGGTTTTAGGTGTTCAACATAATGATTTGATATATCTATATGTTGAGAAGTAATTATCACAATAAGTCTTGTTAACACCTGGATACCACCACACGTAGTTACAATTTTTTTCTTTTGAGACTCTACTTGATTGTGATTTACAACTGGACTAAGATTAAATAGTGTTCTAGATTATAAATGCACACTCCTACTGATGTAGGCAGAGTACATTTTCAAGAGTTCTGATTCTCTATTCAATTTCTACTTTTGTTATTTCAGTGTTTCAAATTTACATAAATTGAAATAAGCAAGTTAGAAAGAGCATCATTGCAGAAGGAAAATATGTTTCATGTATTACCTTTATGTCTGATATATGAACTACATTATGTCTGTCTAATGAACTACGTTTGATACTGCCTTTACAATACGAGAAAGTATTCTTAAAAAACTCAAAACGGTTCAGAAATTGGTCAGGTGTCTAGAAAACTGGTTTGAGTTAATAATCTCAAAACAATTTTTAATAATCAGGCAAAATATAGAACTGGAGAAGTACTTTTATTATTTTAAATTACAATGTCTAGAAAGTAACTTGAGCTCATTATAATTAAAAATACAAATGGCCGGGGCGCCTTGGTGGCTCAGTGGGTTGAAGCCTCTGCCTTCCGCTCAGGTCATGATCCCCGGGTTGTGGGATCGAGCCCCGCATCAGACTCTCTGCTTCGTGGGGAGCCTGCTTCCTCCTCTCTCTCTCTGCCTGCCTCTCTGCCTGCTTGTGATCTCTGTCTGTCAAATAAATAAATAAAATCTTAAAAAAAAATACAAATGGCCATTTCCACAGTACCTATTGACATATTTTTAACTTTTATTCATTAATGTATTTTACAGGGAAAAACTATTTCACAATTAAAGACTTTAAGACTGTCTTAAAAATGAACACATTTTTTTTTTCCTAAGTGAAGTTATATTTGGAATCATCTGCAGATCCAACAACAAATCTTGAAACAGGAAGAAAATGTAGGCATGAAAATTAGCTCAATCATCCACTAAAATTGCAGTTAGTGTAATGTATGGAGGAAAGAGAGCATACATTTACAAGCCAAATACTGCCACTCTGGGCTAAAGTTTGAATAAAAACAAGATTTCTTGGTGTTCTAATACTTGTTTGTTTTGGAGGATTTAGAGATCTCCAAAACAGAGAGAAGCCATCATGCTTAGTATTATGTAATAAGGTCAAATTTCATTTTAAGTACACCAAATTCCAAAATCTACCTGTCAGTCCCCTGCTCACCAACTTAACACCTCAGAATGTTGTGAGGACCTCATTTTTTTTTTATAGAGAAGACAATTACATCCTGAAATCTCTGTCTTTTAATTTGGTGAGCATGCCATCATTGAAAATATTCAAATGGAAAGGTTTCCTATTGTGGAGGTGGAGGTGAGTGAGAGGGGAGGGATTATGGTCCTCTAGCTGCTCCAATACCAAAATCTTATGCGGCTATATTCTTTGTTGACCATATGATCACTCAGTCCCTGACCTTATTTGATAGTCTCTTGTTCATTTCCTACCATTCTCCTGGGCCAATGTTTTAAAAAATATTTTTGCTATAACCTAGGACACACACATATACCCATGCACCTGAAATAAAGCTTTAAGCAATTCTTACTTTTTATACATGCAATAACTCTATTTTTAAATTCTAGGTACCGTGTTAAATCACTAAATTGATCTCAAATCACTAAGTTGATTTTAAGTCCCATGATTAGGCCATGAGCTGAAATTTATTAACACAGTCCTAGAAGACTATTTCACACCTTCTTTTCTATCTCAAAGCCTCCTGACACCATCTCTCCTCCCCTCATTTTCATCTGACCTGGCTTTCTATTTCCCTGAGAAAATAGAAGCTGTTTTAGGAGAGCTTCCACAGGTCCTCAACTGTACCCTTTCCCAGTCACGGTGCATTTGTTCTTACACACCTTCTTCCCTCCTGCTACATGGAGGGCCTGCCTAGACACCACACACTCATTTAAGGCTATCCCCTCCACTGGTGCACCAGATCCTTCCCACACCTGCTCAGGACATGGCTTCATAGACATCCCAGTCTCCTAGCTATCCCACATTTAACATGTCTAATATTGAACTCCCCCATCTTGGTAAATGGCACTCCATTGTTATAGTTGCTCAGGCCAAAATAAAAATAATGATAATAATAATAAATAAAAAGGTCACCCTTGATTTCTATTTTTCTTACAGCATATTCAAACCATTATTGCATGTTAATTGTCCTACCTTTGTATTGTATCCAGAATCCAGCTACATCTCACCACACCCACCACAAGCCAACCAGACCAGGCCAGGACGACGTAATCTCTCCCTGGCTTGTTGCTCTCACCGCCTAACTAGCTTCCCAGCCTCTGATCTTATCTACCTACAACCTATTCATACAGCAGCCGAAAGGCTCCTTTCATTTTTTAAAAATAATATATATATGTGTGTGTATACATATATATATATATATAATTATATATATACATTTATGTTATGTTAGTCACCATACAGAACTTCATTAGTTTTTGATGTAGTGGTCCATGATTCATTGTTTATGTATATCACCCAGTGCTCCTTACAATACGTACCCTCCTTAATACCTTTCAAAATGGAAGACAGATCATGTCAACTTCCCTGACTAAATATTTCTTTTCCTAGAATAACAGCCAAGGAATTTTCAGTAACCAAATGGTTATTCATGATTGCCTCCTGCCTTTAGTAACCCCTCTCACCATTTCTACTCACAATAGAATCCTTATTTCTTTGACATACCAGGCCAACTCAGCCTCAGAGTCTTTGCCCTTGTGATTCTCACTGCCTGGGATACTTATCCCCTAAATACCAGCAGGGCTTGCTCTCATATTTTTCGTGTCTCTGTCTCATTTCTTTCAGGTCTCTGCTCAAGCCATTTTCCCAGTGATATCATCCCCAACCACCATTATAAAATAGCAACTCCTTCCTTCACTCCAGCCTCCCTATTACTCGAAAGTGGTTTGATTCCCCCTCACCCCAGTCTGCCACTCTGTGTACTTACATTGTTTATCTGTCCTCCCTGTTAGATGGCAAATCCCATGAGGAAAGGTACATTGTCTTGTTCACTGCTGCATCTTCCACAGCTAGAACAATCCTGGCACACAATAGGCACCCAAGAGTTGTAAAATTGAATGTGCTGCTCCACAAATGAATAACAGCTTTAGAAAATAATAGCTGTA